TAGCGGAATAGCAGTCGTCCACTTTGTTGCGAGACTTGCACCCACGGAGGTCCGCGCCTGATGCAATGCTCGGCGATGCGCATGCAGCCCTTGATCACTGATGGGTAGCGTCCACCTTCCTTCTGGATCATCGTGTCGATGTTGATGAGCGGATACTTTTTGCTGGCTGTCTCCTGGTATCTGTCTACTTTCTGCCTCCACTTCTGAAGGATCTGGTACTGCTCCTCGGCCCACTCTCTGCGCCACTCAGCTTTCTTTGATGGTGCCAACTTGTCGTAGGCATTGCGTTTATCCTCTGCCCAGTGCTTCTTCATATACCTCGAAAACCTGCTCCCCGCTGTGCCATTAGCTGGAAAGTGAAAGCCGTTGGTCGATAACCAATCAAGCAGGTCGTCGCGTGGCCAATCAGGAGGCTTCCCGACGTCGGTGGTCTCATCAAACTCCTCGGTTGTCTGGCCGATGCCCTCGAACAATTTCACCAGCTCCTCGGGCCAGGAAAAAAACGACGAGAGAATGACGACATGAGAGGGGGAGGAGGATGAGGAGGAGGAGGAGGAGGAGGAGGAGGAGGAGGAGGAGGAGGAAGGGGACGAAGAGGGGGACGAGGGAACGGTGGAGGAGCGGAGAACTACGAATCTTCACGAGCAGGAGGAGAAGGATGAGAAGGACTAAACAGAGTTGGGGGAGTCAGAGTGTGAGCAGGGAATGCCGGCGCGGAGGGGGATGAGGAAGAGGAGGAAGATAACGAGAGAGAGAGAGAGCGAGAGAGAGAGAGAGAGAGCGAGAACGTGAGAGAGAGAGAGAAGGCGAGGAGGAGGAGGAAGAGGAGTACAAGTGAGAAACGAGAAGGAGAAAGATGCGGATGAGCAGCAGCAGCAGCAGCGACATCAATCCTGCTCGAGATCTCGATCGATATTGGTTCCAGCACCAGCTGCTGTCGCGAGGCCCTCGGTCTCCTTGCGAAACACCGAGATCAGCGGGTTGACCGAGGAGAAGGAGGAGGATAAGGAGGATGACCAGGAATGAATGAGAGCGAAGGATCGAGGGCCTCATGCTCGGCTGCGGGCTTGGGCTCGGGCTCGGCGGGATCGTCTTGGGCAGCGGGGATCTCCTCGCCAGCGGCGGCGCCCTTGGCCTCGGGCGCGGGGGTCTCTATCATGGCCTCGGGCACGGGGGTCTCTATCATGGCCTCGGGCACGGGGGTCTCCTCCTTGGCCTCGGGCACGGGGGTCTCCTCCTTGGCCTCGGGCACGGTGGACTCGAGGGGCCTGCGCGCCGCGGCAAGCTCGGCGCACTCCCCCGCGAGAACCTCGGCGTCGTCGTCGGGCACAGTGACTGCCTATGGATGTCTCTGGAGACGAGTTCCCCCATCGGCGTCGAAGTCTGGGCCATTCCCAAATGTGGGGATCGCCCGCCTTCGACTGGTCTTACAGGAGGGGGCTGATTATATGTAAGCGCCTCGCTATCGGCGGCGTCATCTGCCCCCGCGTGGCACCCCGTGCGGCCGCCGACGATGGCGTTGTACTAGGAAAGGAAATACACACATAGGTTCTATTGCCTCTCCCACCCCCTCGCGGGGGGGGGAGAGGGGGGAGGTGCTGCCCCTCGAGGGTTTCAGAGGACCCACCAGGTCCTGCAGCCCGAGATGTTTTTCCAGCTGGATCATTTTCTCCGCCAGCTTCATCGGCCCGCGGCGGCCGACGGGAGTCCGAGGGCAAGGGGTCCCAGCTAGCTCGAGTAGAAATACATTGCGGAATTTATTTGGTAGCATTGGCATTTATTCGGGTGGTTCCTGGGGCACGTTTCTAGGCATATGATGATTTCAAGGTTTTTGGTCGGCCGATGGCGGGAACAGACGTCTCGGAACTGGAATCCTAGTCCATCCAGCTATCGGGGGGCGGCTGGATGCAGCGGCGCTGCACGGGCGGCGAAAACGAACGACCAGTGCTCGGTGGCGTGGTCGTCCCGCCCTCAGGAGTCTTGTTGTCGAGCACCATGGTCTCCTCCAGAGAGGAGGAGGAGGGAGATCTATTGGAATTCGGATGTGTTTTCTGTAAAACATCTCCGAATTCAAAGGAGGAGAAAGAGGGGGAGGAGGAGGAGGAGGAGGAGGAGGAGGAGGAGGAGAAAGAGGAGGATGAGGAGGAGGAGGAGGAGGAGGGAGGAGGAGGAGGAGGAGGAGGAGTTCCTAGGAGGTCTCAGTCCTCCGCGTCCTGCCACTCGAGGTCCTCCTCCTCCTCCTCCTCCTCCTCCTCCTCTTCCCTCTCCTCATCCTCCTCTCCCTCCCTCCTCCTCTGCTCCGCATCCTCCTCTTTCTCATCTTATCTGCCTCCTCATTCTCGGCTCAAGTATCGGTCCTTCTGGATCGCGATCTTGTGGACTGGCATACCTGCTGACGCCTCAGGCTCTGGCTCATCAGCAGCAGGCTCTGGTTCGTCAGCAGCAGGCTCTGGTTCGTCAGCAGCAGCAGGCCGCTTGCAAGCTGCTGATGGCTTCTTGC